ATAATATGATGTAAAATGAACTATTATGAGACTTAAGATCTTTTTATTTTTCATGGTCATACATCTCGATGTTGAAATGATCAATCAAAGGGTTTTACAACATTAAAACTACTTTTTCCAATAGATTTTTGACGTGCATCCATAGTTCTACATTATAAGGTTGCATCCTTATATAAATTTTTTCCTTGTATTAATAGATGTGAATGTGCATTACATCTCCAATGATGTAGATCAATTATATAATTGTTATGAATGCATCACAATGACATTTAGTGTCCAAGTCAGAGTGCCACTAATTGTCAACCATTGGATTGAAATATGAATCGGACCCATGGTTTCGGTGATTTCCTTGCTGATTCCAAGGCTCTGGTAGATTCAATAATGTGGATGAATTTAATTGAAAAGCATAATATATCACATATATTAAATGGTATAACAAAAACAATTTGATAAACATAAATTCTTTTTTGTTTGTTTTATTTAAAAACAATAAATCAGAAATGATGGATGGTTTAAACATTAAATCATTTGTTTGATGTTTATCAATTTTTTATTTGATGGTTTATTGTATTTTATGCAGTTCCGTCGCTCTCTAATTTTTGACCCTACAATCATTTTGACTAATATAAAACGAACACTTAAATGATTTCTAATTTGGCTTACACTATTAAAAAAAGTCCCACAATTTCGAAAATGCCCATCTTATAAAAGTACTCAATTTCAATTAAAAGAGATCTAAAAAAGAAAAATAATTGTGCTGAATTTATAAAGGGCTCAAAAATGAAAATTTTTTACACCCAATTTCAGGAAAAACGTCTAGGAAATGAGGGAAAACTAATAAAAATGGAGGATTTTTTAAAAGCCGTTTTTAAAAGGGGCAGATTTCGGATTGCATAAGGGAGTCATTTGGCACTCGAGCTATTTTATTTGGGGTGGTTGTGTGCAACGAGTTACGAGTGGTTTGCAGCTTTAATGGTTAGTATATATCATAGGTGTAGGTAACCGACCTCAATTAATTGGGATAAACTTTGGATGATGATGATATCATAAGTCTAAGTCAAATGCCTTTTCTTGAAATATGCCTACTTTCAGCCCTAATAGAAAAGCCACTAAATAATGACGATTTTGACATTGGATAAGGAGGACTCTATAGTATTGAAGTAGGGGCCCTGGGGAGAGGGTCCAAAAATAGCCCCAAGAGTGATTCAAATAAATGTTCTCTAAACAATTGAACAAAAACCATCTATTTCATTTATTTTTGTTCTTTTTGAATTTTAAACCTAGTGAGAATGAAACTCTTGAAGTCATGTTGTGGCACCTACTACCCTAATTACCTATTCCTAGAATCTGTTCTTGTATAGTCAGACCAGTTTTTTCGCCTTGTGTAATTGATTGCAAGGTGGGGGACCATCTATGTTTTTTAAAAAGTTTAGGCGTTTAAAAAAACCAAAACATCCGCCGAGTGTTCTCGCCTCTTCAACTACACTGTAGTTATAGGCTACTTGGCCTGTAGAATTTTTTTCCTTTAGTTCTATACTGTGACATGCATATGATGCTTTGATATATGGATATGTATGCTTTTATGCATGTCTACCCTATACTAATGGACGCAACCATATGTGTCTCTCCAGTCTCTGGATTTAATGTTTTGCATGTGTACTTGTGTGTGTGTGCATGCACGCTCATATACAGTCACATAAGACACCTCCTCTCTGCTAAATTTCCTTTTGGTGTAAGAGTGTAATTATTTGTTGGTAATTATTAATTTGGCTTAGCATCCCATGAGTGACACTATGATCTATCCATTGATTCTTGCACAGATGAGAAATGTCTAAGTAATGGATACTTAAACACCCGGTTGGATTGGGTACCAGAAATGCCCGATATCTGTCTCAAGGACATGCCATCCTTCATTCGAACAACTGATCCAAATGAGTACATGCTCCACTTCACCAAAGATGAAACTCAAAAGGCTTTCAAGTCTTCAGCCTTAATTCTTAACACATTTGATGAATTTGAAACAGAGATTCTCGATGCCATGAAGGCCAAACTCCCATGTCCGATCTACACTATGAGCCCTCTACTAACCTTCGCTAGCCATGCTTGCAAAGATCAAGTGAATCAGATCCCCACCAATCTATGGAAAGAGGACTCCTATTGTCTCGAATGGCTGGACAATAAGGAAATTGGATCAGTGATATATGTGAACTTTGGTAGTATTGCAGTATTGACAACCCACCAACTCAATGAATTTGCTTGGGGACTTGCAAAGAGCCAAAAACCATTCATATGGATAATTCGTAAAGATCTAGTTATGGGTGAATCCGCGATTTTGAGTCAAGAATTCACGAATGAAATAAAAGAGAGAGGCTTAATCACAGGTTGGTGTAATCAAGCACAAGTTCTTTCACACCCTTCTGTGGGTGGTTTCTTGACTCATGCTGGGTGGAATTCTACATTGGAGAGCATATGTAATGGGGTTCCAATGATATGTTGGCCTTTCTTTGCTGAGCAGCCAATGAATTGTAGGTACGCATGCAGCAAGTGGGGAATTGGCATGGAGATTAGCAGTGGCCTGAAGAGAGAGGAGGTGGAAGGTCTGGTTAGGGAGTTGATGGAGGGTGAGAAGGGGAGGGAATTGAGATCAAGGGTCAAGATATGGAAAGAGACTTCCAAAGCAGCCATCAAGTTTGGGGGATCCTCTTATTGCAATCTAGATAGGCTGATAAAAGAGGTATTGATGAAGCAGCAATGAGAAGAACCATATCCCTTTCTTAAAATTAAGAATTGATCTATGTTGGACCTTCAAATATTTTCTTTTTCATTGTTTTTGTGCTTGGAAATTGTGTGCGGAAATCATTTTCGAGGTATTGCAACCGAGTACTCTTCTTGTACAAAAGAATCCATAACTCTTCATTTATGTCATGATCTGATGAAGTTTAGCTAAATAAAGAACATGAAAATTATTAGAAAATGACAAATGTATGGTCTAGGTACTCACATGAGGATTAAAATGCTAAATTAGTCGCATAAAAAAAGTTCTGAATGATAATATCCCATGCTAATAAATCCCAGGTATTAGGTACCTACCTAGTAAATAACAATATCAAAAGCAAAAAGGCCTTATCTCAATGTCCAGATGAGTCCTAGATATCCTGTTTTAATTAAGCTCCTGTTTATGGGGCCAATAGGCTTTTAAGTTCTTCTAAAGTAAATATTAGAACAATATAATCTTTGAAATGACTATCCAACCATTCTATTGAAAAGAAAATGAGAGGTAATAGCCAGAGTAGAACCATTATCATGATATGCCTTTAAAACATTGTCCTTTCACTCAATACTAGAATCAACAATTGAAGCATCTGAGGTTGCATCGATTGTGGATGCACGACATAAGTTATTGTTCTATCTATGAACTTCACCTTCACCAAGCGTGGGTTTCTTTTAACAATTTTTTCTTTCTATACCAAATTTGTCGTCTTCATAGACATAATTAGCCGGCAAGATTTGTGCATTATACTTGGGTAATGAAGGTGAGACCCATTTCTATTGTTTGGCTCCCATCAATCATTTGGAGTGCCTTCAACCCCAAACATTTTTGTTCAGTTGCTTTTTTGGGTAGGTAAGGCACGGGATCCTAACACTGGATGTTCAATTGAGGGTTCCGAGCCCTAGCCAACAAGCCAAGGGCACCAATCCCACTCGCAAATGAATCCTCAGATAAATGGTTCTCCATCTACAAGGAAACTTATAAAATGCTGGATTCTTAAGTCCTATGATCTATGATCTATCCTATTGATTCTTGCAGATGGAGAACTATTTAGGATCTATTCTTCTGTTGTTGACGATGATGGCCGAGGCTTTTGTAGACCTATAAAATTTGGGCTGTATACACAATTTTACACAGTCTGAAATATAGAAAATTTTCTCTCAAGCACATCCAATACAGACAAGGCAAAGATGGGCAGGTTGGAGCTGGACTCTAAGTCATGATTTTGGTGGTCCGAATCAGTCTCCATCACTATCGAACCACTACTTGAATGGCGCTTAGCTTCAAATCATTTATGAATTTTCAACATTCAAGAAAATTACAGTATATACTTCCCTTGACTAAAAGGTTGGCTCAAAGATTTAGCATAGCAAAGATTAGCTCTATGCATCTATTTTTAATTATATATGTTGAAAATTAGAAAAAAAGCAAATTCTTATGTTAGTATGGGAAAATATACCATGCACCCTGCCCTAGATAGCCTACAGTAGCTTCAACTTTTTCGTTTGACAATTTGAACATAATTATAATTATATGTACAATAGTACACAACTATATAGGTTTCAGGATAATTAATGGGTGGGGATCTCCAAAATTTTGACCTAGGCCTTTTTTTCTCGAGCGAATAACCTTCAAGAAGGGTGAAGGTAAGCGCAAAATCTACAAGCACTGGTCGTCCAGCCACACTGGGAACTAAGAGCTTATCTGCCACCTCATTAGCAATTAAGTTTCAATATGATGAAGTCTCTAAAGGGTGGGTCTTAGCATCTTTGATCTTTATCTTTGGAATTTTTGAAAATGGCTTTCGCATCCAAGTTTATTGTGTCCCTTCTGCATCTAAGAGGGGACAATTAACACTGAACCTCCATTTTAGCATGGGCAAGAGGCTATTCTGAGTTTGTTAATTTTCTACACTGATTCCATAAATTGCCAAGAAAGCCAACTCCGAAGGTCTATCATTGAAGATGACATTGAACCTTGAATGAAAATCTGAGCAAGGTCTTGGTGTTCCAAGCGCCTCTTACCTTTTACATGTTAATAATTTCTTAAAATAGTATTCTTACTAAGGGTCTTGTGTCTCTTTTTCATGTGAAATGGTACTATAAATAGACATTGATGATATTGTCAACTTCCATTTTCAAGTCACCATCCATTTTCTTTCAAAACATATAGGAAGATGCTTGTAAGGCATTCAAGTATCCACATATCATCATCATCATCGTCATCAAAGCGTTTTTCCAACTACTTGGGGTTGGGTTCATGAATTTTGATCTGCTATTCTGCTCTATTAAAGGTCATACCCTCAGTGAGGTCATAAGTCCCCATATATTTTCTCACTACTTCAAATCATGTCATTTTAGGCCTACCACTTGCCCCCTTTTGAGCTTTTGACTTAAACTAACTCGCACCTCCTAATAGTGTTGTACTAGGTTCACGTCACACATGACCAGCCCGCCTAGGTCTACCCTCCCTCACTTTATCGCCTATTGGTGCTATATCTAAATTTTTTCGAATGTATTCATTTAAAATTCCATCCTTTATTGTTTTGCCACTCATCTATCTCAACATTTTCATCATCGCTACACTCATTCTATGGGCACATTCTTTTTTATTGTCCAACATTCAGCCCCATAAAGTAAAGCTGGTCTTACAGATGTCTTATAAAACTTGCCCTTTAGCTTCATTATTATGCAGTGATCATATAAAAGTTTGCTTGTATATCTCCACTTTGCCCACCAAGCTCTAATTTTATGTACGACTGTTGCGGGGTATTTTTGACACACTTGTATCCTCGATGCGAATAAGGAAGGAGCCAGTTGCAACCTAGCCCCACGGGTACCAAAAATACCTACGGGCTATGGAGCACTAATTGAATAAGGCAAATTTTGGATGAATTTGAAAAGGTATCGGATCGGCTCTGAAAAGTATGGAGGGTAGCATTAGGTGCCCTAAGCATGCCCGTCAAGTTTTATCTCACTCCAACAATGTTAAAGCATATCAGATTGAAACTTAACTCACAAAGCTAGTTCCTAGCATGCTGAAAATACCTCATAACTAGATCCATACCGCCAAAGTCTCAAATGACTACCAGACCACGACCATTAGATTAAGAAGGTCCGAAAACTCCCAAATATCAATGTTTAACTCATTTGGACGCTTCTGAACCATTCTAGGGCCAACTTACCCAAATGGGTGCTTTTCACACTGTTCAATTACTCTCCAATGAATCAGTTTTTATTTTTGGAAACTATGTCATTCAAAAACGAAATTGTCTTGCGGATGTCATAATTCCTTCATCTTGAGGTCAATCAAGCTCAAATTTGAGTATGTAATAGGCCTCATCATACCACACATTTTGATAAAAGTACGGCCCAATAGGATGCTCGAATTGAGATAAATCCTAAAGAGAAGTGGGACCAACAAACTCATATGCTGTTGACTTTTTTAAAAAAAAACACCCATCCATTCAAGTGGCCATATCTTGAAGCCCCGATATTGGATCGCTTCAAATGTGGGTTCGTTGCGATCGCAACTCAGAAGAGGCTTCGATTTGATGTAATTTACGAGAGATTGAAGACCGAAAGATACATTATTTCAGGTTACAAGAAGTCATGCTTTCCAGTCGCCAGAATCCCATTATTCGACGATCTCCCCAATTTGACAAGTACTCAAATGGTGACCAAATCGAGGGGTTTTTGTTGCAAAATGATCACAATGACTTTCCCTTTGATTTGTGATAAAGAAAATGACCAGAAACGCGACGGAACGAGCATGACCTTTCTAGATTGAAGATGGCAAGTTTATGAGTTTTGGTCGGATTTTCAAAGTAAGGTCAAATGCTCGATTCAAGACTAAACGTGGGTATCAAATCGATCATTGCAACAAGATCGATGCTTTTACGATATTATATTGCCCAGAATGTCGTTGAAAACCACAACAAATCGCCACGAACTATGGCAATGGCATGTGGCACCTTTTTGAGGGACTATTGTACCATTTTCATGATTCTTGCTAGTGGCAAAAAGTTCATTTTGCCCCATACCCGGAATTTACTTTTTAATTTTTTAAATTGTAATTTCAAGAAATTTATTTCACTCTTTTTCATCCACCCATGTTTTATGGGGGTGATATCTAAGCACTTTATGTTATTTTGTAAAACTAAGTTGCACATAAGCTAAAAAGGTTGGAGATAAGAGATTTTTCGCTTGATTTTTCCTTGTGCGCCTTCATTTTTCAACTTGAGAGAGGAGAGAGAATATTTTATCCCCTTGAGAGTTTACCCCTTGAACTTCCTATTCCCATACCTCAAACTTCCAAAGTTCCCACTCCCACCTATCCATACCTCAAACTTCCAAAGTTCCCACTCCGACTTATCCATAATCCTTAGACTATAGTTCCTACCTCCCCCTCCCATACTCCATAGACCACATACCCATACCTCATAGACCACATACCATACTTCCTAGTCTCTAATCACCACCTAACCTCTATACTTCTTACCTCAACCAAACTCTACACCTCTCTTGACCCAAACCTCACACACCTTAGTCCACTTCCCTTAACCCGTTAACCCTAAAGGGCGAGTATCTCAAGGAGCACCCAAGGCAACTAGGATAGGACCTAGCATCTGAGTTCAAGCCTCAGGCTCACTATTAGGTATTTGATTCCCTCTCTCTCTTCTTCTTCTCTTTCTATCTTTCTTGCTATCCCTCTCCTTCTCTCTCCCTTCTCCTTCTCTTACTCTTAATCTCTATCTTTCTCTTCCGTTTCTTTTCTTTTAAACTCTCTCTAACCCTCTATTTTCTTTCTTAATCCCTCTCTTCTTTTTTCTCTTTCTCTCTTCTCTCCCTCTCTCTCTCTAGAGGGACAGCCCAGGCTGTTCGGCCCCAGCCCATACCCTCCTCTCTCTCTCTCTCTCTCTCTCTCTCT